CTCTGCCATTGGTGCCTGGTGATGCACATAGGGATGGTACACAGTGGGCACGTTGTTGGCGCTCGGAGGGTGCACGGGGTTCCAGGAGGTGCTAAAGACGGGCGTTTTCGACTGAAAACTGCACGGGGTGAATTCAGGGTGCTCGCCCAGGGCGGGCTGTCTGGTTGGCGGTGCCAGCGGAGCAGAGGCATATCTGGACTGCACCAGGTCGTCACTCTCGTGAATTATGAACGAGTCCACATAATAATTGCTGAGCGTCCCTGAAGTCGACATTGCCATTCAAATACACCCACCCCCGAGCGGGACCTGCTGAAATTATGAAACTGCAGATTTCATGTAACAACTTGGTCCTTGCAAGAAGTACAGTCACCTAATAAGTTGAAGGCTGCCTGTCAGCCCATTGGTCGCCGGAGTCACATGGCAGGGGAGCAGAACAATAAAGTATAAATCACTCCGCAGGCTATTAATGGGTCAGTGTTTTCCAGTCATAATTTTTATAGCAAAGCCATATGTTTTTATGCAAAGGGATAGTTGAGTTATACGATAAAGTTTGTTTTAATTGTGGCCAACTGAGATTAAAAGATCAGATTTTGTATTATTACCCTTTTTAAGCGGACTATTTTATATCATAATTAATCATCCCATCAGTGGTTCGTGTTTCCAGCAAAAACCTTGCGATCGGAGACCTTCACATAAAATTATACAATAATTGAAGTAATAAAAAAGCAAAATAGCAGTTGCGGTATACTGTATTTAAATCTATATTTATTGTATTTCATAAGGAGTTATTGTTTCAGGAGCCACGGGCACGTTATTAAGTCAGCAACTATGAGCATATTCATTTGCATCGCTGTGTTTCACAGCCGTAAAAATTTACGAGTGCTTGGAAAGGTTAAATTATCCTATTGTGTTTAGTTTGGGAACTAACTGTAAATAATACTGTTCCGTTTAGTTCAGAGCTAACTGGAGCTGGCAAGGAAGAGGCAAATTCATCATAGTCTGTTACCGAAACTGATCTGGAGAAGAATTCCTTCCCACCCAGACCGGGGGAAAAATATAGAAATATTTTAAATCGATATTTAAATTTTTCATTTTTAGAGTCACCGGCTAGCCTTGGAACTGGACGTTTTCTGAACCACAACTGCTTTTCACGTGGAAAGACAACAAACTCCACTTCGAAATCCCGAAGGCACCAGACTCAAACACACAACAGGAATCTCCTAAAATTCATTTAACCAGATGCAGAAGAATTAGTCGTAGCATGTGAATCATGCTCGGGATACCGTGTTCCTGATTTACCGGGTTTCGAGGCTGTCTTTTCATTGAAGGTGTAAAAAGGGAATGAGAACGAATATGCACGCCCGGAACATTGTCAATGACATTGTATTAACCCGCCTCAGACACACACACACGCGCGCACACACACACACACACAAATTATCACAGGAGAAGCATAATTCAAGCGAGTGAAGTAAAACCGACCTTCACAGAACAGATCCCGGGGTTGATTTCTCGACCAAATTGTTTGATTCAATTTGAGTTGTTTGAATCTATTTCCACGTTTACGTCTGTTTGCACAGAAGTGTTTTTAGACCTGCCTTCCTGAGATGTAGCTAATATTATAACCCGAACGGATCTAAACCAGAACACGAGAGGGGAGGGGGGAAGGAGTGTTTATCAAGACGATTAATTCTTAAATATGCACCAAAACAGCAGGGGGAAAAGCACTCTCTTCTGCATCGCCGAAAGGCACCCTGCTTCTCAGTTGTACAGTAAAAAAGGGCACTGGCATCACGTTGTATCACATTCTGATTAATCAAATTTATGTGCAGAGCGAGTTATTTGCTGGCACGTTCTTTGACTTCTGTGCTCTCACTACAGCATCCAAACTAAGCGGAGGGTTACAGTCCTATACAAAAAAAAAAAGTGATTCGGCGCCCAGATCAAGTCCAGTGTTATGAATTAAACTAAAGGCTGGAAAAAAATGAGACTATGGCAATGGATTTAATTATTGTCTCCGGCGTATGTTGTGTGCTGCTTATCGCCGGTTGTTGTAAGGAAAACTGGCCAGTGGGAGGGAGAAACATTTCTGTAAACTGCTTTTGGAAAAAAAAATTGTTCAGCATAGAGACCAGCAAACGGAAGAGCAACTGCGTAATAATTAAATTCATGTGTGAATATTCTGCATGCAAAAATATGTTTCTCATTAGTTTTATATCGCTAGTCGGACTCTCTCGCGCTCTCCATGTTCTCTTCAAGCTTTTCCAATAATTTCATCAGAAATCTTCCAGAGATGTAATTTTAGCAACAGCTTTAATCCTGATTTCAAATCACAAGATCCACATGAAACTATTATTAGTACATTACAATCAGAACAACTTTTTAAAAACGCCATAAAAAGCAGACCAGGCGAACGGCTGTCCTCTATTTTCCAACAATTTTGTAATGCAAATAAAGTTCTATGTACTTATTATAGAGGTTTGGGGGTTGGTTTTCGGTTTTTTTGGTCAAACTTGCACTGACATACCCGCAATAGAAAAACAAGTGTATGTCTACTACCGAAGGACGGAACTCCACGTCATGTGTATTTATTATTGAGTCAACTGGGGTGAAATGTGATGGCAGAACTTCCTTTTTCCATTAAGAAAAATAATCTCAACTCCAGGAGTCCTGTGTGTTTGTTGTGTTAGACTTTGGGTTCTGAAACTGCAGACTGTTTCTGTTTTGGTTACTCACACATACATAGATAGCGAGAATTTAAAAGAATACGGCTAAGTCTTAAACACCCATATGTAGTCCTAAAAATGTTCTTTGCAGGATTAAAGGAGTATGAGAAGATGCAAAGACACCCAGAGTTAAAATAATAATAAACAAATAACGCTATATCACGCAGATTTCTGATTAACACACTCAAGTATGTTCTCCTTCCTTTTTTCCCTTTTATAGAGCGTTCTTCCGTAATAAATTACAAATACCGATAATTTAACTGTTGAAATTATTAATTTAATATAGTTTGCTTCACTAATAATTTAAACAATAGGAAGTGTAATTACGTAAATAATCTACGCCAGGAAAAATTAATATAAAATTGACATGGTATCTAGGGATATTTAGAAAAGAAGCATTTTTATCTGTAGCAATTTAAAAATGGTTCTATCCCCCATGCCTGTATAATCGGAGCAGTAAAGCTTAAATTTAGCTAAGATTTTAAACCCAGTGTTATAGAAAGGATAGAGCAATTTTTAACTGAAGGCTAAGAGTAAATGCAATTTATTTACAAATACGCTATAAAGACTATATATGGGATTTTGGAATTTGGATATGTAGTCTTTAGGAATTTTCGGACTTTATTGAATGGGAATAGCCTCTTAAATAACTTATTGCCATTGAAAGTAACCAGATTCAGAAAATGTGAAATGGAAATTGATATAGAAATTGGAATACGTGAATATGAAAGTAGTATTATCCATTAACAATTTTAAATAAAGTAGAAGCAAACGGATGAAAGTGCACTGTAAATAGATAGATATATAGATAGATATTCCGGTCATACATACAGTGTGCGTACAGACATGTGCACTCGGAGTCATGTGTCTGCAATTTAAAGGTATGACAGTCTTCCTAAATGCGTTCCTTCATAGGAGACTAACTATAACACATCTAACTAATTCGTGGAAATCCGGTCTCCAAACATTTTTTATTCGCCGTAGCCTATTTGAGTCCTGGGAAGTTTAAAGACGAATGATCAAAAAAGGATATTTCATGTTCAAATGCTTCCCAAGCCCTCGCAGCCAGCAGAAACCTCGCTCATTTACGTTGAGGCTCAATTGCCCTGCCAGGGCTAGGCTCTCAACAAGGGCTGCGGGCTATGTCTGTCTGCTCTGGGCACGCATACGGCAGCCGGGAGCCCCTGCACAAGGCCCAGTGAGGTCGCTGTTGCTCATCCAGCCTCAAAGGACTGGCGGCGCCTGGCCACACTGTAATAATGATCGTAACCGAGGCCTTGCGAGCTGCAGGGAAATGGGGCTTAGCCGATTTTAAATCGCTTCTGACTACCCGTTCCCCAACCTTTGTGGACACAGGGAGGAGCAGGATTACATTTTAGGCTGGGAGGGACTCGGAAACATACAACAGGGAGTGGGGAAGAAAATAATAAAGTGACTTAATGACCCTAAAAGATCCTCCCAAAAATGAGACTCCGTCTGTGCTCTTGCTGCCATCGCTACCCATGTGTGTGCCAACTCTGTCAGTGCCGGATTTATGCACAAACCAAGTAAACTACAATTTAGGCCCTGGCATTATGAGGGCCCTCTAAATACAACATTTTTTTAAAAAATCACTCATTTTTAATAACATCCTCGCCTATGTACCGTATCTATGCAAATATCACGTTATTATTTCAATTTTCATTGCCCTTTCTATTTCAATAATACATATTTGTTGGTAAGGCCTCTTAAACTTGACATAGTTTAGGACCTCAGCATGTCTTCATCCGGCCCTGCTCGGGATGACCGAGTGTATGACTATTGCCACGCAATTCAACCTTGTCAGGCATCAAAACAATCCAGCCCAAACCCCAGAAGGATGCTGAGCAGGATGCAAAGCGCACCTGACCTTGAATGGAGACTAGAGGGTGTATTTCAAGAATCCCAGAGGCAAGCAGGCTTACTCCGGAGCTAGCTAACCTTGGAAGCGCTCCCCAAGCTTTTCGCCCGTGTAGGCCGTGTTTAGGTGGGGAGGGAATGAAGCCTTCGTTGCAGATAGGGAACAATGGCATTGGGACTTGACGCCTACGGGGAGCTCCGGCTGTAAGATTTCTTCGGGAGCGCGCCAACTCGCACTGTTAGCCCCGGGGACGATTTTAACTGAAGTAATCAAGGCAGTTTCGTGCTGCAGAGAGAAAGGTGGAGCCCCAACAACATGAAACTACCTAAACCACTGACCAGTTCTCAGCGCTCTAATTATCGCGCTCCCCAGAGCCGTGGTCCTTACGCAAGGGTCCCGCTATAAACATAAAAAACCAGAAATGTGACCAAAACATTTCAGCGCCCCTCGTTCGCCCATCAACCAGCGACCGGTCACCGACTCCAAGCCATGGGTTCCAGCTTTTAAAGGGGGTATCGCTTATGAGTTTTCCTTTTAATTCTCCATGCACATGGAAAAGTGAAGAAAAGCCGTGCGCGGTAATGGTACATCATAAAAAACTAAAGACTTGCCACGCCCCCCCCCCCCCCTCCTCCGCCGAAAGAAAGAATTAGCTGCAGCCCTTCTTCGGACCCTATATTTTGTTTTCCCCTAGTGCAAACCTCTGTAATGCTTAAACATGCAGCGATGCAAGAGAAAACACGTATCAAATAAGCTGGCAACATGCAAGCAGGTAGCAAAGCAGAAGCTACTGATACTAGAACCTGTTTCATAAGAACCAGACCTCAATACCCTCATTTACATGTGCTCACCTTTATGATCCTTCTTCGGACCCTATATTTTGTTTTCCCCTAGTGCAAACCTCTGTAATGCTTAAACATGCAGCGATGCAAGAGAAAACACGTATCAAATAAGCTGGCAACATGCAAGCAGGTAGCAAAGCAGAAGCTACTGATACTAGAACCTGTTTCATAAGAACCAGACCTCAATACCCTCATTTACATGTGCTCACCTTTATGATTTTCTCCTGAGCCATCTGCTATAGCTAGATTTCTCCCCGTCCTTTCGTCAAAGACGTCAGCATATTTCAAGGTGTAATATTTTTTTAAATCAATACACTACTCTCAAGAAATAGTAATTTGCTTCCTCTGTCTATGCAGCTCCTCACTCAACTGAAACCACTCGTCCAAGACAGCAACAATCCAGATATACTAGCAAGTCATAAAACTGAACAAAAGCCGACAAACCTTACTGCACCATTGCTATATGGCCCAGACAAATTACGACCGTCTAGGTAATATTTAAATAGATTCCTAAAGTAATTGCAGGGTGTTTAGGCAACTATTCCTGTTGTAAAAGTTCTTGAAGACATAAAGTAGAACCTGAGGATAAACAGCCACAAAAAGAGGTAAAATTAAAAGGATTCATTCCACGTCTTTTATTCTTCTAGGAGAACATAAACATCGTCTTTTCACGCACAGCAGCATTACAATATTAATTTATTCCGATTTAAGGTAAGTACTAGATAGAGCTAGAACTAACATTTATAATAATGATAGAATGCATTTGCTTAAACCAGTATCGCCATTTTTTATAATAATAGACATTTATACATATCTGTATTTATATTTCTCCCCTTCTTTTTTTGCACCTACACGTTTGACCTTTTTAATGCATGTAATTTCACAGTATAAAGGGATAGGCGGACATACGCTCCCTCGCTCTCTGGCTCAGCAAGTCCTTCTGCTGTTCAGTATGGAGACTTCTCTATGAACTTAGCTAGTAAAGGGGACTATTTTGTCTCTCAAGACAGGGGGGGAATTGTGTGCTTGTCATGCGTTACCAGCGGTAACGTCATTCCGAGACAAAAATCCACTAATTCCACATATTTAAGCAAAATTACATTATGGTCAATATCTACAACCAGAAAGAGTGGGTGGAATTCAGAGGTAAGTGTAATAATTTAGTCCATAATCAACACGCGATCTTTTATATTCTTAAAGAGAAGAGGTCTCATTTTCCTGGCCAATTTTAAAGCTTCTGATATGAAATGCTCTGTGAAAGGAAAAGAAAAAGAAAACCGGAGCCGAACACCAGTTCCCCTGAAGCCCTTTTTAAAAAACATGCCTGCATTTAATTATTGGAACTCCTGCCATTTGGGGGGTAAAAAAGTTGAACTCCCACTAAATAGAACTATGGCAAGGTTTCAATCATTCATTATTAAGCTGCACAGTCCACATCTTTCTATTATCATTTAAAATTGCAATGCGCCTTTTACCGGGGTTGCTTACTTTTTGGAGAGGAACAAAACCACACACATATATTTGCAGCTCTGGAAATACTATGTCTCTGTTTCAAGGTTAAGGAAACAAATAACTTCAAGGCAATGGTAATGGAACAAGGGCGGCACACATATGGAATTTTATGCATCATTGTGGCTCCCCCTCCCAGAAATAGCTATAAAGAAGTTATGGACATACTGCGAATGTATAAAAATCCTTAATCCATACAGGTGCAGATTACTAAAGCCTAGGAAAATGATACTGGCTCTTTAAACCATAAAAATGTGTTTATAGGTTTATCAAGAAAAATTAAAGTTGGCTGTGAGCTCCCGGATTCTATTCTCTCGGTTCATTTTCTTCAGTTTCATTCTGCGGTTCTGAAACCAGATTTTAACTTGTCTGTCTGTTAGGTGGACTGTTCGGCTGATCTCTAGGCGACGCTCACGAGTCAGGTACATATTGAATAGAAACTCCTTTTCCAGCTCGAGAGTTTGGTGCTTGGTATAGGGGCATCGTTTCTTTCTGCCACTTTTTGCGGTTAGCCAGTTTGCTGCATTTTCTCCTTTTGAATTGCCTAGTTTTAAGAAAGTAAAAAAGGGACGTTACCAGATGACACGAGGCAAAGGGATTCCTCAAGTCGCCCCCCTGCTCACAGGTCTAAGTGAGGGTTTCCTTGTGGGTAGCGGGGGTTGCTTTAAAAAAAATCTAGACTCCAAAAAGCCCAGGGAGATCATTAAAAAGGAAGCTCTGTGTTTGTATTTTCCTAATGAAAAAAAAAAGTTGGCTCCTACAGCGATAGAGATGCATCAGTGGTCGGTTAATTTAATGGAAGTGGCATTTGAAATGGCTTCCCCCGCCCAACCTCTGTAGTACAGTTTAGTCTATTCTTGATTTTTTCCCCAAACTGCTTCGGCAAAAAACCGCGGATTTAAACTTTATCAGCGAGTTTTGCAGCTGGAAGACAAAAGGAGCTCCTTCTCCTTGTTGTCCGTCTAACTAGAAAGCTTCTGCCTAGTTTGAAAAAGGAACTAAAGTCCGTGGTAGGTGTTCGCTGCTATTATTTCGATATAGATTTGTTACTAGGGTGGGCGATGGGTTTTGTTCCCCTCCTCCCTTTTTCGGTTGTTTATAAAAGAGGAACTTGATTATATCTTTAAAAAAAATCAATTGTAAAATGATCAGCAACTTAAAAGTCTGGCAATATCTCCCACGAGGGTTTTATTTTTGCATACGGGATCGCCCTAATAAATAATAACAGCCCTGTTATCTGCTGGAGACACTGAGGAATATTCGTGGAGCATTCATCAGGCTCATTTGATAGCAGTTCATAGAAAGCCCATTTCAACGCGTCAGTTATTTTGAAAAGCATTCTGCATCGTAAAACAGAACTTACCCCGTTAATAGGTTTATTTATTGGCACTGCCGCTTGCTTATTTTGGATGCTTTACAAACATCTCTGTTATCTCTTAGGCACCCCTCACATCAACGGGGAAGATTGATCTCTTGGTTTCTCTATACGTCTCAACCGCATGCAGGTTTAGCTTGGCCCAGAGCGGAGGCTTTCGCATTTAAACTATAGGCTGGACATTAATTTTTACTACATCCCCACGCCCAAATATTACACAGTTCAGGAGGTCAGGGTGAGCGGCAGCGCTTCCTGCCAGCGCTGGAGGCTGCACGAGCGCTCCTTGCCATTTGCGGGACGGTTCTCAGCCCGGGCTGCCTTTGCTTTGCTTACCTATGGGGTCTTTCTCAGGAGAGGGCTTGCTGCTGTCTGACGGAGCTGGGGAGAGCTCTTCTGCGGTCGAAGACGAAGCTTGGGCGTCTTCCTCCCTCTGGGAGACGCACGCCAAGGTGTTGGGGGAAGCCTCCTCGGTCTCCTTCCTCCCCGCGTCTGTCGGAACTGGCGGCAACGCTGGAGCCGCCTCAAAGCGACCTTGGGGCTGCGGTGGGAACTGGGGCGCAGCCGCTGGCCCAGCTGCGTAGCTCTTGGAAGTGCCATAGGCTTGAGACAAGCGGAAGTAGCCCGGGACAGGAACCCCACTAGCGTTGCTCATGGGACAGACCTCAGCGCTTAGCCTCGGGAAAGGAGACAGCTCGGTGGCCGCTGCCCCCTTAGCACATTTGTCTGAGTCATAGAGGCAGTAAGAGGTCTCCTCTTTAATGGTTTGAGCAAAGGAGCAGGAGGTGGCCTGCTGGCTTTCAGGCTCTTCCAGGCGACAGGACCTGGGGGGCTCTAGCCAGACCTCCATCCCTGACACGTAGGGATGCGAAGAGGGGACCATGCTTGGCGCGGCACCTTCATTGCGTTTGCTCAAAACTGGGAAGAGCCCGCAGCTTTGCAGCCCATAGGACAAGTCGGACGCCTGTGGCAAGAAGACACTACTGTTGGGATAGTAGCCGCCGCCTCCTCCGCCTCCGCCTCCGCCTCCTTCCCCTCTGCCCGAGCTGATCAAGGAGTCTACCAAAAAAGAGTTTGCAGCCGGGCTCTCGGAGCATGACATTGTTGTGGAATAATTGGGCGAAGGCAGCCGATAGCCCTTTCTGGCTGACATTTCTTGTGCAAAACATGCTGAATATGATTAGAGATACCCCCGCGCCACGGCGAATGCTTGCAGCCAATGGAAACCCAAGCCCGGCCAGCAACCCCTCCCAGTTTGGTTTCGTATGCACAGAGCTGCTCTGAGGTCGACCTCTGTATTTAGAATATAGATGTATATTAATGTGCAATATCTACTTCCAGCCATACGCACCCCTCTAGCTACCCACCTCCCTAGCTATAGGGAGAGGCAGGGAATGCTATAAGTGTGTGCGGAGACAGAATTGCACACTCAAAAGCAAACAGTTCCCTACCTTATTTTAGTGTTAGCATACCTTATAGTCCTCTACTATCACATTCACGGCTACAAAGTGGCAGAGCAGTCTGAAATCTATGATTACCTAAAACGAAGCGATGTATAAATGGACCTTTTATGATCATTTATTTTCCTACTGTTGAGCTTTCCGGAAATCAGGCGTGTTTGCTTCATTTGCACAGCATGTGTTTATGATGATATCAATAAAGTCAGGAATCCCCTGTTTCTACGGCTAGGGTCTGTGACTTTTTATTTGTTGGCCCACTTTTTAAAAAAGTGTTATTATTTATCACGCACCACTTGAGGGTATAAAGGATTCTAGCTTTTCTAATCCTTTTTTTTTTAAATAGCTATTTCCAGAATAGCATCACTACCAAAGGTGAATCAGTGTAAACTAGTCTGAAATTTCCTGGCGAGAAACAGTGGTTGGCTAAAAAGAATCAATGAATAACTAATGCATGCGATTGTGGGAGGAATGATATTGGGATTGCATCTTCTAATACTGCAGTTCACCTTGGAATCCCTCTCCCCCCATTTAGTTAACATACCAAATGGAAAGACAGCAGTCACAGAAAGAATCCAACTGTAACCGGTTAAAATGGATTCCTGGCCGCCTTATTGATCCAAGTGTTTGTACGCTGGTAATTAGATATTACAGTTTCTCATTTGGACCATTCACTGTGAATCTTTTAAAATGTACCGACCATTTCATCAGAAAGACACTCAGAAAAATGACCCGGCTATATGAACCCGCGCTGTCCAGTCAATATGTAATTGTAGCGGAGCCGGGAAGCAGAAAGCAGACAGACACGCAGACAGCGCCTTAGACAGACATTGTAATGAAAGAGCCGGTTGATGGGTCACTTCCATCACCTCTCCATTTATGCTATTCTAAAATCATGCAGCTGGCTAGGAGAAACGACCCGCTTTTGCGCCCGGTCTGTGGCTGCGTGGGGTTTTTCAGGATCCTTTGAAAGCATCCGGTGACAAATTCTCGCGCAGCACATGGGTTGAAAGCGCCAAGCGGATCCAGCCAGATCCTAGAAGCAAAGGATCGGCTGTCTCGGCTGTCTCGGCTCCCAGATGAGTACAAATAGCCGCTTGGAAAATAAATATTGCTCATTAAATCTCCGTGCTCGCCTCATTCTGGCATCCGGCTCTTGCATAAAGCCAGCCGTGACCAATAGGAGTGCCAAGGAAACAGTTAAAGCGGTCACTTGGCTTCCTTTCTGACCACGCTTTGACTGTGCCGGGCAGGCGCTCAGCCATACACTCCTGCAGCGCATACCCTTGGCGTTCAAAGGCTCCAGGAGAACGTTACAAGAATAACAGTGTCAATTGCACTCTGTCCATTTCCCCTCGATCTATTGATCTGTGCAGCCTCACGTGGTTTAATATTTTAGCGTTCGCCTGCAACGAGGAAATTCCTCCTCACATTTTGACATTCCCCTGGACAAGTTATTCTGAAACGCACAGAAAACAGCGGGACGCACATGTTAGTTTCCCTGGGCAAATTAAACTGAAGGGGCCCTCCCAAGGTTCCTTCCCTGTCAGCTGGAAACGCTGCGAGCTGGTAGAGGCTGTTACAACTTTGCAGCGCCCATAAAATCTTTATGGAAACGCTGCTTATTTTTCAAATGTTATCTAATGAGCATTATACTATTGCTTACAGACGACTGCCAAGTAGGACGTAATGGTCGAATGCAGTAATCTGGGGATATCAAGCAGCCTATGGGAACCCTCTATTTCTTACCCTTTCCTCCTGTAATGCTGTGTCTATTTCCCAAACTTGACTTACTCCACAATGTGTTAATGTGTGATAGACAAACCCTTATCAGATTCCTATGAGGGCCATATCACTGCTAACAAAATTAATACCATATAAGGAACCAGTTTATTGGCTAGTATACAGGAAGGTTATTATCAATAGGCTTAACGTTATAAATGCGGATCTAAATACGATCAAATGTGACCCTAAGTTCGACGTTCAAAATATATTTCTGTACGCAAATCGGGAATAACATTTACACCGGGGAAGTCTGCTCTTGCGGCATGTTTGTTTTGTATTTGTCAAATTAAATAGAAATGGATTGCAAATCTCAAAACCATATTAATAGAAGGATAACGCTTGAAATCCTTCCAAATGTTTTTTTTTAGTTTTTTTAAAGTAACCAGCTATCTTTTAATATTATAATTATCTTTCAAATAAAACAGGATAATAGGAAAAGTATGCCAAATCCTTGTCAGACTAAATAAAATTATTATAAAAATTGTACAAAGAATTGCTTTGCAAATGCTAAAGCGAAGAAACCGGGGAGCAGAAATACAGGACACAGACTAATCAAAGAGGGAAAACATGCTTTAAACCAACTCTTTCTTTTAGCCTTTGTAGCAAAAGATCTGCTACAGAGAGATTGGTTTTCAGCATTAGTAAGACTGAATACCTTAACGCAAAGGATAGTTATTCAATCAAGTATAACTTGCAACAGGAAACAGAAATATATGCACTGTATTGTTTTGTTTATAGTAATGAACAGAGTTGCTTTGATGGTCAAAGCACTTAGCTTAGATCATGAACTCAACTCGGCTGTGTATTATCTGTGCTTTCTTTAATCGCTAACAAGGCCTAGGCAAATAGTAACTAACATCATCAAACCCAGTGAACTAAAACTAATAATGTTCACTTGATTCTTAACTATAAAAGATAATGGTCAATTTTGAATAAACTGAACTAATTTGGCATGCAACGTGTGTAGCTACTACATTTTAAACACTTAACAAAGTGGCTCTTGAAGATTAACCCCGACTTTAAAGAAATTTCAAATAATAGTGTGAATTCCAGGGCGCGATAAATATTTTTTTAAAATTCTGCTTATAGCAAAATCATCTGGAGGTTACATAAAAACAAACAAGTGCAGTTTGATAAGCATCAAAGCAAGTAAAAGTGTTATTTAGTGGAGGTTCTAAATTAATGGCATACGGAGACAAAACGATCAAAATAATATGTTATTAATTGCAGAAAAGTGGAATGGGTATATTAATAGAGCCGTTAAATTCTTTGATTAGTTGAATTAAAAATTAAAAACTGAAAGAAATAAATGCAAAACGACAGCTCACCCCCACGCCATCTCTGGTTCGAAATTTTAAAATACACCAATCAAAATACTGATTCATCTCTTTTTTATTTCCTACACAAATCAAAACGGGCAACATAGTTAATCAGCTGATGATATTTTGTATGATAATTACAATATGCTTTTGTTTCTGACGTGGGCAAATTGCTATATGCTAAAACGGAAATCCGCCTGAAGTTTCTCATGAGCTTGTGTGTAAGCTGCTTATATGAGCATATAGAAGTAGATTACATTATATAAATCTCAACAAACTAATGCAGTCAGTGAATACTTATTTAATATGAGAACTGTCAGTTGTCAGGCCCGTGTATGTGTGCCAGATTTACTTTTCTTTCTGGATTTGATCCAAAGTAGGCGGCTTTCAATCCGGAGGGTTAGAAACCGTGGGTATGCCGGGAAAGGTGATAAATGACTAACTCGCTATTTTTTATCTTTACTAGAAATGGCTTCACGCTATAAAGGACAAAAGGAACATTGGGATGCTTTAGCAGGTTATCCCTTTTGAAATTTAGGTCGCAATTTAAATTGTATCCCATCTGTCTGAAGGCCTTCAGTCTTCGGAATGTATTTTATATTTTGCGCTCAGTTTTGCTAATTTTGATTAGCACTCTGTTGTGCATATTACTCTGATGAGCCCTTTCCGAAGAATAGCTCTCTACGATTATTATCCAGTATAACAAATGACACCAGAACTATTTCTAAAGGATTGACCTAGTCACCAACAGTCGCAAGAACGCTGCCTTCTAAATGCTATCTTACACCTACAGAGCCCTTAGTGCGGTACAGATCTGTCCATGTAGAATTAGACTAGATAGTAACGTTATACATTCCAGGCTATATAGCTGTTCATGTTTTGGGACTCCCTTTTCTTTAAATACAGTTTTGCTGTAAAGTATAAATATTCCTTTTCGTGGTGGACGCCCCTTGATAGATAGCTACATAGATATTGCCCTCAAGTTGCAATTTTAGACCATTAAATGAAAAGGGTGTGACAAAATATTATGAAATACCTCCTCTTGGTAGAGGAAGTGGTACCACTAGCACACGAAATAGAGCAGTGCTCATGAATAGCTAAGGCAAAGTAAACACTGAGCTTCTTTTTAGATTTCCTCTAAAACACGCTATCCCCAAACCATGTGAAATAATAAACAGTTATTGTAAGAAGCAAACTTGTTTTTTTATATATTGTCCTATGACGAATACCATCAGTAAACAATTTGTAACCAGAGGGCGCTTTAACTACTGCTGGGGTCGCCTTGATTTATTCATCTGGGTACTGAATGGGGGAAGGGAACAACAAGGAAAATATTTTATCAAATATGCAGAGCCGATTCTGATTGGTGCAGAACGGAACTTCCTAAAAGGGCTTTTCGGGATTGCACTCCGCTTTATTTTGATTTTTTTTAAAGAATTGGAACTTATGCGAGGAAGTTTAAGGAAAAGATAACAATTATTTTATCTGGAATGTAGTTATCTTTGCTTAACACAGAGATTCTTATAATGGTCTAAAATACAGTTCATCGTGATTGCATGTGGGTCTTTAACAATTCACTCAGCATTTCTCGAAACACGTTATAAATAATCTTGTGCAAAATATTGCAGACCGGTTTCATTAGTCTCTTTCGGCGGTTGCATAGTATCATAATCAAGTAGCCACGTTTAAACCAGAGGTATGTACATCAGATATTTAAAAGCAAAATATACTGTAGTACCAGGTGTATTAAAATACGGTTCTAAGCTAGATAATTGACACAGCCACACATTTTTTTCAAATGCAGACTTAATAAAGAAGGGTGGAACTGGAGAGACAGAAAAGTAACCAAAAGTAGCTGCTAAATTACGCGCTCGAGACCCTTTGAGAAGGCCTAGACTTTAGAGACTACATCCCAACTTGAGTCTTTGAAAATGGGAATGTTTGACCTAATTTCACCTGCAACAGCGTTCTGTCTGCGAGAGACAAATAATGAACATTTTAAAGTTAGTCTTATCCAACACGGGCTTAATACGCAGTCAAATATTTCACTGCTTGTGCAAGCGACTTTAATTGTATGTTTACCAACATCTATTTACAGTTGCAAGAAAAGAGTAAAGGTTGCAAACAAATATTGTCCTAGCCATTCCATTAACATTTTGACCAAGAAGCAAACCAAAGTTCCAGTCCACTAAGAACATCAAAATTACCTGTCATTTTCAGCGTATGTTAGCAGAGCGCTCTTTGACTGAAGTCCCCTAGTGTTCTACACATAAATGTCAAGTTTCATTATTTTTCCAGGGCACTGATTTTTTTTATAATTGGAGGAAATCTCCAAGATTCTCTGAATAAAAAATTCCCCATCACCTGGATTTTTCCGTACTGTTGGCCAAAACTTTATTAAGTTCAAAAAACTTAGCTAAAAATTAGAAAGTCTCTTACGTTTTCTTTCATGTCTTAAGTTGAATCACGAAGGTTTTGGAAATGTTTTCCTCCCTAGAATTCTCCTCCTCAAAATGCTTAATTGAAACAAACACAAAGAAGGCTCCGCGCAAACTTTCCCAGCACTACTTTGATAACAGCCTAGTCCACTTCCATTTCTGTACTCAGGGCAGAGCTAAGCACTTACCTTCATGCATTTTCTAAACCACAATCAATGGGGAGCACATTTTCACTTGAGGGAACCAGCAAGCCAGCCACTGAAGCGACCTTTGCCAACCGTAACACAGAAAGTGAAATAATTTAACTTGCTGCCGCTAGACTGTAAAGTGAACAAAGGCCAAGCTTTTATTTTCCAGGGGTTCTCTTCTCCTGCTGCGGCATTGACATTGATCTGAAGAACGCCATCTTGTGGCAATCGAGCTCCTGAGGCACAGAGACTGACTCACAACTTCAAATTCACTGGTCTCATAAAAGGATGCTAGAGAATGAGGCCGGACAAGTGCTATTCAGCTCTCATTTCTAGATCTCAGGGATTGCTTGCTGCAGGAGTGCTGCTTAGCTGATAGCAGGGCATTCCATGTATGCAAATGAACAAGTCATGGACACTTTTTATGACCACATTGTCGCGGCAACACAGAGGATGTGTTTTTATTGGGTTAGGAAATCAAACCCCAACCAGAGAAACTCCAACTGCCGCCAGGGCTAGCCATGAATGCCAGTTAATGTTTAACCAGGAAAGGAAGCTACTTGCTAAACACTCACTGCCCATTCATCTATTTATGTTTGTCTCTTCCTCTTTCTCTCTCTGTTTGTGTACTTGTACAACCATCTATGTATCCATCTCTTTTAAAACTTGCGTTCCAGTGGAACATGAGGGAGAAACAAACAAATAAACAATCTCCCATTTTCTCGGTTTTTCTGGGGGGGGGGAGCCCAAACATTTCTTTGGACGAGACGCTGTCTGACTGGGTGGGGGTTGTGAACCAGAGGTCCAGAGGCATTTAGCCCTTCACCTCAAGGTTATGGGTGATGTCCAAAGCAATACAGAAGTTCAAAGCCAGTAAACAAGTCAAAAACAGTATGTACTTTCTTTTCCTGATTAAGTTTGGGACAAAGAATTGGAGACTGAAGTTCCATTCCCCATACCACAGTCTCATCTAGACTTTGTTTCCCCAACTTTTACGTTCCCCCCTCTTCCAACTCAAGGACAATTTCAGACACCCTAGTTTCACCACTCTCGAAGGGAGACTGGTTTCTCAAGAAAACAATGTTCTTAGGGCTCACACCCCTTTGCCCATTCATTTTAAACTTCGCTTTAGTTGAAAGCTTCGCTTCACTTTTTATGCTGATAAAATACCTCCCAACATTACTAATACCAAAACTAAATTCAAAATGCTTTGTCCCAGACATGTGTGGTCTGAAATAAACAATGTACTTGTAATTCGTAAAACAAAGCAAGTTGTCTTCTTGTGTGTCTTTTACAGCTGAGAACAAAGGCGTGGCGTTTACAGTAAATTACTAAAAGTGTTATTTTCCCGTTTTTTAATCCGTTACATTTAAATGAATGTCAGCCTGCATGTTTATTCACCAACGGCAACTTTGGCTGCTAGTGAAGGATTAGAAAACATAGGCGTGCAACTTGCACGGTGGACTTTGATTGTAAAATGTAGATGAAATAAAACAATACAGAGTAATGTAACACCAGAATAAAAATATAAATTTTCCATTTTTTTATTTCCTTGTGCGCTGTTCCATTGTATACATGCAACCAAATACTTTTGCATATTAAAAGAAATCTGTATATACATATAGATGATAGCTATTGAAAACAGTGATGTAATACAAAGATTCTGCATTTTGTGAACTGTGTAAAAAGAAATCACATCCATTTGGTAAGCTGATTGTTCAAAAATAATTGTCACCGATTTGTTGCACATGTAGAGAAAAAAGCACCCTCTCACCCCAAAGAAAAAAATATGTAAAAATGTATTAAAACATTTTTAATACATGGTTTTTTATTTACAAGTCTTGTAAAACACTGTTCCTGTATGAAATATACATTCAGGTACTCTCAACAGCAAATTATCTTAACGATAGACTATCGTATCCTTTGTAAACTGATATAGAATTTTAAATATTTTTAAATTGCATTTTTCTCGCTTTGGTTCCTGCGGGACAATATATATATTTATTTATTATATATATGTATATGTTTAAAATAACTCCAAACAACAATCCATTGTTTGTATATGTCGCCTGAGAGACGAAGTAGAGCTCATGACATTTAAAATAGACAACAACATATGAAAACAAAATGTCCTTATTTACATTGTTCGGCTTCTGAATAAATTCCTTACAAGCAACCTTCTAAAGACACAGAAGATTACATTATTTTGGTGATTCGACGTTAGTGCATTGTACAAATCCAAGTTACATTTAAGTGTTGTGTGGTATTTACCAAACTCTCGTTCTCCACAGGTATTTCCTGAAGAAAGTTTGTGAACCAGAAGGTTAGTTTTCTTTTTTCTTTCTTTTTAAAATCTAGGATTCATTTTGTCATTTTTTAAATTTAAATACGAGCATCATGATTTGTCTTAAAAGGATGGCAAGGTATAATCGAGAGCTAATATGACAATTGCGAAACATTTTATTTTCAGTGATTGTTTCTTGACGATATATGGCAAATTTATGCCTGACATATTTTTAAAGTAAATAATCAAGTCTTTCATATCATCCCCCTCCCCGCACTCAATAAAACACGGTTATATCCATCTTCGTCTGTACTATAATTTTCTCCACTGGCCTTCTAAAGGAATATGTATTTATTTTTATTTAAATCAATTAGTAACGGAGCACTGCTCTAGCATAGACATTCTCAACCCGAAGAAAAAATATTATTTTGGGAAGTTTTATTTTGCAGTGGTCCTCAGAACGTAAACGCGACATGTCATCTTTACACACACATTCCACAGTAAAACAAGGGAACAAGGAAAACAATAGTTACACAGCCAATAGGCAACAGTTTAGTCCCCACTTTTCATTATTGAAACCATATCAGAATGAACGGAAGTGTCTATAAAGGTAAGAGGTATGAATTTCGCACTCAGAGCAAAGATTGTGGCTGGCCTGCTGGCGCTGGGTGCCATGTGTGTCAATATCAAATCCATTCCAGTTGATATGTAAATATCAAAAAAGTAAAAAAAAAATTAAAAGTCCAGGGTTGATTTACATGTATGTAAAATCATAGTTCGCACAGTCCCGTCAGTTACACACCTCCTTTTTAAATGTAACCCTGTGGCTTGACCTTGTCAAGGGCGAAATCTGAATTTAATCTCATTTTGAAGAAAAAAAACCACGAGGAGTTTTAAAGTAGTGGATTAGCGGAGTAATATTGTAATCGGTCCCTGTTAATTTTTTTTTCTTTCATTCTCCTGTTTTGAAACCATATTTTTACTTGACGGTCGGTCAGATTGAGCATTCGCGAGAGCTGGAGGCGTTTCTCTTTGTTTATATAGACACTGAAGAAGAATTCCCTTTCTAATTCTCGGATCTGATATTTGGTGTACGGGCATCTCTTTTTACGAGTACGTTGTCCACCTGTGGAATGGAAAGAAAAAGGCAGACGTGTTTGAAACTTAAAGCAGATGGGACTGGGAAAGGCTCCGTCGTGGGGCAAATGTGTTTTGTCTACTCCAGGACGGAGAGAACGGTTAGGTCCTAATCTAGATGCTAGCTCTCTGCCTTACCGAGGAAAAAGCAATCCTGGCAAACAACGCATCCCTGGGCAATCGGGTCAGACATCGTACCGAACCAGTACCACTGAGTACCTGCCTGATTGTTTGCCCCTGCACTCTTCCAAAGCTGTCTGCAAGGGTTGGGACCGTGGTGTGACAGACTAAACAAACAGCCGCACATAGACATTGCAGTGTTCATCACCTGGTTCGCTTCAGCTGCCATTACGTTATCAGGGTTAGTAAACACATTTTCAAGCCCCGTTTTTCTCCAGACCTTTACAACTGAGTTTGAGTCTGTCTACAAACACTGGCCTTACATTTCCATCAATGTGTCTCTCCCCCCCGCCACACACACCTTTTATATCAGGGGAAATGGCTCTGCAGCTAGGCTGCTATGCCATTATGGCACTGGGATCGACTCTGCTGCTTTTTAAAATGCAGGGACATCACTATAATATCAGAGTCGTCTCTCGCTTTGCCCTACGAGGCTTAACGTTCCGTAGGCAGAGTCGTTCAGTTTGGAAGGCTTTCGAGGTTCAAAAGCTCTTTCAATTAAATATTAGTCTTATCCCTTTAAGCTCCCTCCCCTTCCTTTTCTGGAACAGCTCGTGGTAGAGGGGTATTTTCCGCCGTTGTTTACTCACTTTTTCCCCTTTTAAAACACATATAAAATCAGGCTTTGACAGACTCAATAACAATTGTAAGTAACAGGCTGTTAGACAGAAGGCAACACGCAATTGTCACAATACCTACGTAAAATGGCTTCCTTTAGACAAAAAGGCCAGCTTTTGGGTTAATTTGTTTCTTTTAAATATATTGCTACAGTTCAGGCGGCTACTTTCTCTGCTCCACACTATGCTAGTGCCATCGTTAAAACAGCCCAGGGCTTTGAATGCAGCCCCTAACTAGACTTCTGGTGCCACACATGGCTTTTATAAAATCACTGGATTACACCGATATCAAAGGAGTCAGGATCCCTTTTGGGTAAATTTACAGGCCCGCACGCCCGTTATTCTATTTTCGAGACTTGACCACAGAGCTCTTTTATTATTATTATTATTTAAAAAAAAGGGAGAGAGAGCAAAAAGGAGAACGATTTTTTTAAAAGGCGTCCATTGGCCGGTTGGGTATTTCACGGCCAATTTCAGCACGAAACACGTGATCTTGCCTTTTATAACAAAGTTTTGTTGGGGGAAATCTAAAGGCCCTTCATAAACCTTATATGCTTATAAAACAGCATATAAAATTTTAACAGCGGCGCTGCGCTAGATTTCAAACTCCCTTTCATAAAGCGCTTGGGCGCTGCCTTTATACGTACTGGAGCTGCTGGATTTCTCCTCATTGTTGCCGGAAGATGACTCCGGGCTGCTGCTGCTCTCGGTCCTCCTCCGCCTCTCCTTCTCCTCCGCCGCCGCGGCCGCGTCTCCGCGGCAGCCTCCGTCCGAACTTGAAGTTGTAGCAGCTGCAGCAGCGGCTGGAGGCATTTTCTCGCCGTTCTTGTCTGCCGCATAGTCCGCCGAGGAGAGGTTTTCCGTGGGGCCGTACGCCGTCTCGAAAAACTGGTCGAAAGCCTGGGGGAGGACCCCGTTCCTCCCCACCGCGCTATAGAAATTGGACGAGACGTTGGCGCTGGGGTGGTAGACGTTGGCTGTGTTTTTGCCGAACATCTCGCCCATGCTAGCAGTGTTGGTGGCAGGCAGGCAGTCTCTGTGCATGATCTCCTCTGCTGAGTAGCAGTGGGGTAGATTGTTCCTGGGGTGCCATTTACTGGAGGGGTCAATGGCATACTCCCTGAAGGTAACTTCTCTCACAGGTTGGACCTGGGGTAGGTTGGAAGAGTAGGAGTATGTCATAGGGCGAGAAGACGGGGTCTGGGGCAGAAAGGAAGGGAGGCTGGAGAAATCAGGACCGGAGACGTAGTAAGTACAACTTGGCAAATACATGTTAGAGGAACAAGGAACACGCTCATCAAAATCCATCATTAGGCTACCTCGGGTTCTCCGCATTAGCTGAGCTTAACATGATTCTCTAATGCAGCTGCCTCTTTGAAGCAGATCCGTGAAGTAAGAAATTTGGAGACGTAAGCTGACGTGGAAATCTATCCCCATCCTTAGCAGGGAGGTGCTGGTCATGTGACCAAATGTTGAAATTGACAAGCTGCAAGTATGGGCCCTTTTTTCTTTGTAGCCATCTCAAGGGAAGCAACAGATCGTCACGTTGGTATTCTCACCAAAAGCACGTAATCTAAAATATAACTCATGTTTGCCTTGTGTACCCAGCGAGGACAAAAAGACGCATGCCACTTTTCCCCACTTATCAGTTTGACCAATTGCACCAAGTCGTTGTTGGAGTAGAAAGAATTAACAATTCCCACATGTTAGCTGAGACCCTTTCTGTGTGTATTTTTTCAGCCAAAATCAAAAAAGAAGTCGGAGGATTTTTTCCCCCCCCTGCAATCTGGTTTCTAGCCAGAGTGCCCCCAAAGCAATCGGTCGGTATTTGTGTGTGTGTGTGTGTGTGTGTGTGCGTGTGCAGAAGATAGTCGCCCTGTAGGGCTTTGCTGAGAAGAATGTGCCAGGGTCAAGTCTGTACTGATTTTCATGGTGAATAGATTACATGCTCGCATTCATGTTCACTTCCGAAGCGCTTCGTGTCTTCCTTCCCTTTTTTACATATTAACCTCAAATACCCTGTCCGGTTTCCTCCAAGTTTTGCTAGAGGTATTTACAATATTTTCTTCGCGTCATTCAGGTTCCCTTTTTGCCTGTTCGCCAAGAAGTTGCTTTATTTGCAATGTTAGACATTCCTTTAAATTCCGGACCACTGCGTAAAAAGCGTTTGCTGATCTCTTTGCCTAACCAGTGCTGCTAACTACCTAGGAAACCAATGGATGCTGGGCTAACCCGGTTTCACAAATATTCTATGTTTAATTGCCAGAAGCCCAGTTAACATTACGGTAGATCCGATTAATCCCTAGAAACAAGCTCTCAGCGCCCAGATGCTTTTCTTTTTTGCTTCAGACAGTCGCTGGAGGTTACTAGACCTATTTAAAAGCCCAGTGAAGCTTTTACTAGTGTTGCATGAAAGGGATGATGCGGAAAGCGGATTGTAGGGCAGAGAATAAAAAAGTATTTCTGTGCCAACGAAAATGCACATCCCATCTGATGATCATTGCCAAAGAAAACAGAGAAATAAGCCAGCACCTTTCGAGGCATAAGCAACCTTAAGCTGGAGGGGGAAAAAAACAACACCTTTTCTCTATTCAGCTGCTCGATATCAGAAAAGAAATATTTAGATTTTGGCTCAATTTCATCAAAACAATCAAGACAGAATTACTGTGACTGTTGTGAAGTTGGTGTCCGTCAGTAAGAAATTTGAGATTTTTTCACTATCTCTGTTCCTGTGGCGCTCAGTGAAAAGTGGAAGGAAAACTAAAAATGTTAAGGGAATAACATTTTGAATGTTTCCACGTCCCCAACGCAGTGGAAATATTTATATAGCAGGGAAAAGTTCTATTGTAAATTTTGGAGATCTTCGGTATTTAAATGTCAACATCGATTTGTTTATTTATTGCTTCGCTTATCGTAACTGACTCAATAACAAATCTAATCATGTTGTGCACTGACAAAATATTCTCATTATGTATTTTCCCTAAATTATAGTGAACTATTGCATTTGAATCCAAGCTGTAAATATCAACATTATCAAGTAATTACTTTGTAGTGGAGTAAACTAATTTATTAGCATTAATGTTTATATGCCTTTTTTATTTTACAAGGGTTAAGAATCACAAATCAAATGCTCTGGACACATCCCTTTAATGAACTCTTTATTTTGGTATGCTGCAAGAACTTTTTTATGCTCCCTCTGTGTTTGTGAGCTGAACTTGAAATTATTAATTAATCTTCAAGCTTGACATATTTGCCAGAAAGTGGATGGAAGTAAGAGATATGCATGTCATCAAAGTGCTACCTGAAGACTCCATTGTCGTTTGGGGACTGTAAAAAAAATGTCTTTAAGCACCAGAAGGACTCCGGGGTCTATGCTAGGACTTCTTCCTTAATTCTACAGTATCTATGCTAGGACTTCTTCCTTAATTCTACACTTTTGTCTTTATTTAGGTTTCCTTATAAGCCTTCTTACAAAAGGGGGAAAGAGGTCTCTTTTGCTAGCTGAGCACTGTTCACAACCCTCCTACTCCCCTTTCAATTCTTGATATTAAAATCTATTTTCCCCTTCCAGACAAAAGGCATGTATAAAGGATTTCAGCGACTTTGAGATAACAAAGGCGCCACCATTGCAGAGGTTCGCCCCGCCTCTGTGTGATGGCAAACAAATTCTTGCACTTGTATTAGGGCTTTTAAGGCTATAATTGAACACGGCGCGTCTAGGAGAACCGAAAACAGTTCTAGACTGACCTGCGGTTTTATAGCACTTTTGGCAGTCAACTTCAGCTTGTGTCAGAACAGACATGACAGAGCTGACCAACGGATAATCGGGAGACACCACCTACTTGGAATCGCGGCAGTCCCCTTAATTAAATACATCTCAAACCTGGGGGATAGAACAGGCTGCAGTTCTGAGGGGGGAAAAAGGTTTGTATGTGGCTATTTCCTGCTCCTATTTACATCCCCTTTCTGTCGTGCACTTAAAGACTCTGCCTTTCTGTTTTCATGGATGCCTATCTGAAACAAAGGGAAATCACGGGATGAAGGCGAGAAGGCAATTAATCATGCAAATCCAGTCGTCATTAGTATTAAAAGACCCTGCCCAAGCTACGCAGGATATGTAGGTTTAGTTGTGCTGCTTTGCTGTGTATTTTCCCAGGCACTTATCCCGTTAGAACGCACCGTAAGGCAGGAGAAAACAAAATGCAGCCTGACAAATGATTACATCTGTAGAACAATTAGAAACGATTATTGAAAAGATTTAAGGGTTGCAGCTCGCGTAAGAAGAAGCAGACACTCAAGCAGAGTTAGTTCTCTGCTTTATTTGCTGCTAAGTGAAACAGACAGAATGTGAGCGTAAAGCCCCGGAATGCCTGGGTAATTGCAGTTAGACTGCTGTTATGTTGCTGCTTTAAACCCAGTTATAATGTTTATTATTTTGTCTAATTCTGAATTGCTCTTTTAATGCAGTACTTGGGACTATCCGCGTTTAGGAAGCAAATAAATCCGCGCATTGCCGCTGCTAACCTCAGTGAGAAGCGCATACACAAAAGAAGGCGTTGCATTTTGAGAAGCAAAATGAATTCATTCCTCCCTCACAAGTGTCTCGTCCGGCTTAGAAAGGGCAACGTGTATGTTCGTGTTACATGCCTTGCAACTGCACGGCAGGACATTCTAGATACATTTTACAATGGACGCAAATATCTACTAGGTGAACAGACTTTATGAGCGCATTGGCCCATGTCTATCTACACAAAGCGACGGGGAATTAATCCATACTTTGGAAGGACATAAACAAACCTAGGATTTCACGTCTAGAGTTTGTATATATCTGGTGTGCAGAAAGAATTTCTTTTTAAAAGGTCTCAAAAAGGTCAAGTTCTAGAATGTGTAAAATGTTGACACTTTGTATTATATTTTCTGGGGTTTTCATAAAAACAAATGGCACTATAATTTATCTTAAATATCGGGTTGGGTGCCTGTATTTCACAGTATAAATGTACACTAAGTAGAATTTATGCGTAAAACGAATTAACTAAAATATTACACCTTTATTCATTTTCTAAAATGTCCGCCTTTTGATTGAATGTTTATATTTCCACAATTATGCACAAATTAATTATTAGAACTTATAGCTATTGCACGCTTTACTTCATATATGTATATGTAAATATGCAATTATTATCTTAGGGCAATATGAGGAAATATGCAATATAATTTAGCTAAGGAAAACCTCATAACTTCTTCCTTTCTAATGAAAATGTCTCTAAGGGTGCAAAACCAGGCAAAATTTATCTCAAATGTAATTGTTTAAGTTTCCTGCCAATCGTTTGGATTAAACGTTATTTAAGATTTATTGATTCTCTAATCAACTGTTTTTCTCTTTTCCTTTTGGGCCACTGTACTGAAGTATGCGGTAATAATCCAAATATAGTTTGTCACCTAAACACATTTCTTTAACATTTTTAAGGAAAATAATCGTAGCAATATTTTGATAATAGATTTCAAACACTAATAATTCTGCTATTACAGCTAGTAGGGACAAAAAAGCAAGATACATTTCCAAGATTTTGATATGGAATAGTCCACTTTATTGCTGAAAACCAGGCGCTACCATCATTGTAGTCATACTATAGAGGTTCAGATTTATATATAGAAAGCAAGCAAATGTAAATGCAGAATTCAGTCACCGTTAAATTGTAGTCTTGTTTGGCATATTTAACGGCATTAAATTAATTATGACGAATAAGTTTTTTAAACAATTTTACTTACAAGGTCGAATATTGTACATTATTTTATTAGCATTGAACATTTTGTTCTTTAAAGCTATAGCATGAAAAAGTGATTTTCCTTTACAGTGGTTTATTTTAGTACTTAAATAAGATCTATGAAGAGATTAATTCAGCTACATGGATTTCAGCGTTTATCATGAATATCTCATATCACTTAAATGCTCGATATTGAGTAGCTATTACTGAAAGCAAAGCAACATTCCGATAATTGTAACAAATATGAACAGGGAGGTGTGTCTGTTTTTTTAACAAGGAATTTATTCTGCTTAATAGACTAGTCCCATACAAATGTTATTTTTCTGTTCTTTTTAACCAAAATATTAGATCTTTTTATAAGACCCTATAAGCACTTTTCAAAATGCTGAGTAATTTCTCTCAATATTTTGTTTCCGAAAACGTGTTTTTCTGGAAAATGTGGAGACCCAGAGTATATATTTGCCGGCAATGTCATAGTATGCTTGTGTACCATCTGTAAAAGAATCGAGACAGGGTCAAAAGTAAGGCGGATATAAGGAGGTATTATATTGGACGTCTAGGTGTTTCTAAAATTATGTGTCGATGGTACCATAAATATCTTCCCTTCTCGACCTGACTTCACAGCTATATTTTCCCAATACATTAAAACATGTATTTCCATAATGTATTTCCATATATCCACGTCCAGATAGTAACTAATGTATTTCCATATATCCACGTCCAGGTGCCAGAGACTTCTGACAAATGTGGGGTGCAGGAGTGGGTATCTAGACCACTTGCTCGAAGTGTATGCGAAAGCAAAATTCTTCGCTTGAAATCCTTTGATATAGAAAGCCTTTTGACCGAGTTGCACCCATATTCATATCCACAGATGACTAGGAGACTTCACGTCACCTGTAGTAAATAGGCCCCCATCACATTTCATGCAGATGTATTTAATGTAGAATTAATCAGCTTGGTTTAGTGACTATCTCCAAGATTTATTTCAAGAAACCATGGTCAAAACAATAAGACTATACATCTATCCTTTTGTAAATTGCACAGACTCGTAAACTCCTAATGCCACGTCCGCAAAGGCTTGACCCACAACTATATTTGCTTACAACATGCATGGTGTCTGGGGTCTCGGATGCTGGTTATCTAAACAACAGAAACGACACCGCCGGAACATTCCAATGCCCACATATATTTAGAAGTATTGCCACAGGTGATGCCTTGAACTTGACCTTAGGTATGTTAATCCATGAAATACAAGCTGGGGTGGGGGAGAGGCAGGAGAATATGTGTATTGCCTCCTACAGAAGGTTATTTTGTTGTATTGGGATTCAGGGATAAAACAACGGAGTTCAGTTCTTCTGGCATACATAATCTGTTCTCAATATTTCGATTTTTAAAGACATATGCAATCACATGTAGCCATGAGGAGACAAAGTCTTCATTTTGGTTATTCTCGGGGACTGAGACCCGCAGTTTGCTGTACACCTTTTAAAAAGTCGGTGACTTGGATTCTCAATTAAATGTACTTCTAGAATACTCAATGGTTTTTGCTAATGCATGCTGAATGTTAATGGCGATATAGTAAACGTGTTTTTTTAAAAATATTTTGCCCACTCATCATCAAGAATTACCAGAATTTACAGTGCCATACTGCTCACTGTACAGGAGAGCCCTACTCAAGAATTGTGAAACACACCGAATTAAAGACATTTCTGCATCAAGGATTGTTTCCAGGGGCGGATACAGGAAGTATCATCACACTAAGTCTGTCAAACCAACGACTTCGAATATTACCATATTGTGATGGACTATAAGACATGCATAATAACAAAGGTTACCTGCACTTATGTATCTTTTAAAATCATATATTTGTATAACACACGTTTAAAAGAAGCTGTGGTTTGCAAAATGCAATAGCTTCGCCACACACGTTTTATGTTTTTCTGTAAGGTCCTCTTCCTTTTTGTGTATTTTATCTAACCAAATAAAATACAAAAGTACTTATCCAAATATTTTCAGCCCAAATCCGAATACGATTTTCTTGAATATTCTGGATTCACCATGCTCACTGTATTGTCAATTTGCCTTTCCTGGCTCATGTTTAACAACAATTCAAACATCGGTATAGATGTAAATAGAACTATTTTGTGGATGTATCAACTCAACAATACATTCTATAGCACAACATGTCTGTAAACTTTTCAAACTAAACAAGAAGATCTCTAGTCATTCCCTTACCCATACTTGCTCCCTTCTTTCCATATGCTATTTTTATTTTGGTAAAGCTGTTTATATTTAGACATATGTCGACCATTAGCTACGGCTCAAAGCAACCCAAGCCTTCTTTGTATTAAGACCTATTGCTTTTTATGTCTATCCAGCGGCACCCCGAACGTGAACAGACTGGCTGAAAATACTGTGCTTTTCGATTATTTCTAACCCAGGCGGCTTAGCGCGGCGGATTTCTGATATACCAAACCAATCAAGCCACGCTTGGGGAGTCTGAATCAAGGTGATTAAAATTAACTTCGCATTCATTTCAATTCGCCAGCTACGGGATCCTGTGGAAATTTATTTCCGGACCTTCCACATTCGGCCAATCCAGACAGGCTAAATAACCGCCTTAAGGAAGCTATAAAGAAATTTGCCCAGTGATGGACTTTATTCTTGTAGGGGGCTCCCCCCCCCCCTTAATTCTGTGGCAAGCTTAAACCGTTACAAAAAGAAGTAAATGAACAACAAACTCGCTCGGAAAGAAACTCAACCGATTCCTTTTTCCATTGCAATTGAGAAAACGCTAGAGAAACAGACAAATCCAAATCCAATAGTCTGGCCCCTTCATCAAATGCGCCTTCTAATCTTGGATCAGACTCTAAAACCCTTTGTTGTTTCCACCTAACTCCGCAGCATCGTTTGGCAAGGTGGAGCCTGGCCCACAAGCGACCATCACAATTAATGCTTTTTGAAAGGACTTGACCCTAACTCAATCCCCCACACTTCTGAAGACAAATCTGTACTTCTGGCTGTACCGTGGAGAGAGCTAGATTGGAGGGGAGCAGGATGAGGAGAGGGCAGAAGGCTGAGAAACCGCCGCAAAGGCCTTCCCAATGACATTGCTGTACGAAGCACCGGCCCGCCACGGGTTTTAATCCAACCTCAGCAACAGGGAGAGGGAAAACACTGAGCAAGCTCGAGTAAATAACGTTCCGACTTACCCCAGCGTCCGAGATCTTCGTGCCTTTTCCAAGCATCAAAGAGTAGAGACCAACAATTAGAATCCCGCGCCTCGCTTGAGGAAACTCCAGACACCAAGTCAGCAGTGTTTGTTTGTTTGTTTGTTTGTTTGTTTGTTTGTTTGTTTTCCCCTAGACCTACAATATACCTGGTCCACAAACTATTTCTTCTGGCAGTCTCCACGGTTTTAATCTCACTCAGACCCTCTTAGGTTCATAAACTTTCTCATAGACCTCAAAACAGCCTATTTGGAAAACGCGCCGACATAACATTCTATTTCTTTTCTCAGCCCTGCTTTTCTCAGCCCTGCGTAAAATGGCCTGCTGAAATGATAATACAACAGGGTGATTGCAATAGACCAAGTGCGGTATAATTCCATTGATTCCTGTCGAACTAGAGGAAAAGTCCAAGAGTTTTAGATCAGTGGACACCCTGACATTCCTCCCCAATACACCGTGGGTCACGGAACAGTAATGACCGTGGATTGTGCGTTGTAGGACTTGACCTTTACTACGTAGAGGAGGGCGCTTTCTTTCACGCTGCAGTGATTGCAATAGACCAAGTGCGGTATAATTCCATTGATTCCTGTCGAACTAGAGGAAAAGTCCAAGAGTTTTAGATCAGTGGACACCCTGACATTCCTCCCCAATACACCGTGGGTCACGGAACAGTAATGACCGTGGATTGTGCGTTGTAGGACTTGACCTTTACTACGTAGAGGAGGGCGCTTTCTTTCACGCTGCAGAGGGAGTGGGGGAAGGGAAGATGCTCTCTTTGGGGATCTTTAATCAGAAATCAGATCTAGGCGCTGCAAAGAGCACTGCATCTCAGCACGCTGGATTTTCACTGCGGCGTTTTCGCAGAGCATTAATGGATATTTGCATTCCATAGCTGCAATTAATGAGTCAAATCCATACATCGGAGGCAATCAGCAAGGAGAAAAGGACGCCACCAAGAAAACAAGCAACAATAGACTAAAACACTCAAGCCAAACCTACACTTTCCGGGAACTGTTCTGTCAGATAATAATTGTAATGTCAGCAAAACCGGCCTCAAGTGCAAAGAATCAGCAAGGTCCGTAGTATAATGTTGGGAAAGAGAATGACTATCCTTCGTAGTTTTCAACGCTTTAACCACCAGAAAATTAACAAGGACACCTCATCAAATCTTCATTACAATATTTTAAGCAAATTTACATGTTATGAATGGCTACGAACTGTCTTGTATAGAATCTTTATATTAAATCCTGTTTTGATTTCATTACTAAAGCTACCTACCTGTGTATTATCTTTAACACACAGCAACATTTTGTAAACTTAAATTTGTGGTATGTGGCCTAAATACGTAACGTTTGTTCAGACATAAAAATTAAAGTCACTTGCATCGAAGCATAGCCTAATTTTATATCCCAATAATTACAACTTTAAGCACGGCGACTGTTTTCTTTCAAAATGATTTCGTAGAAATCCAGTAATTTTAAACGGAAATAGTTTTAAGAAAGAGGAAAAAGATGTAGTTTTGCCATTAAACTAATTCCTTTTAGGAAATATGCTGCTGTCAAGTTTTATTTCCCATTGCAAACCACCTTTGTTAATGCCAGAAGTTAAAGGCGGAGATAGATTAAATACCATCTTATTCTCTTGCCGTGGAAAAAATACAAAACATTTGTTTTACTCTTCCGTCCTCATCAAATATCATAAAACATTTCCAGTGTATGGGAATTCTAAATCCAAAGTTCTAAGCACGTCAGGCATTAGAAGATTATAAATCAACATATTCAGACACTTGGAATTAAGGGTTATGCTGCCGAATCCTGCAGGAATTACAAAGTATAGGCTTCGCTAATCTTTTTATCTTTAATTATGTTTTGCATTTTTCATTGAGACAGAAATATTATCTTGGCATTACTGTTTCCATAAATGCTCAAATATATATGGCATTAGCTTACCTTCATCGTTATTTTTCTATATACAGCATCTTCCAGAGGCCTGGGAACGAAATGAAAAATATCTAGGTGTCTTTTATTTGTTTTGAGTTAAAAATTAAAATAATAATGAGAACTCTTCCAGAATATTTTCGTTTATTTTCAAATATATGCAAATAAAATGCTGAATATGTATAACACTATAAAACATTATAGACACAGTAACTCTAACCACTCCCCCCTCCATTTTAATATGTCCCTAACAATGTTGGGAATATAAATAATGTTTTTCTCAGACCCATGCGTACGAGAGTACTTTGTGGAATAATGTATCGCGTTTGTTAATTATTTTCGTTGGTGATATATTTACCCATAAAACACGTATTATGGACATATTTTAGAACATTGCGTCAGATTGGTTAGACGGGAATATGTAATACAACAGCAATTTGTACTTGAAAATGTGTATGCCAACAGTTTGCGGAAGGTAAATTAAAATAATAAATAACATACATGCACATACATATATGTATATATGTGTGTGTTTATGTATGTAAAAGGAAGATAGATAGATAGATAGATAGATAGATAGATAGATAGATAGAAAAAAGCAAACGACCATATGTTCTACAGTTAAAAAGAAGAAAATGTAATTCTCGAAGTATCTTAAAATCATGCCATTAACCGATACCTCTTCATGTTTGGGGTCAGATTATTCCATAAATAAGTAAGTGACAGCCAATTTTCCTCTTCCTACATTTCATAGCGCGGTCCATTTTAAAGACTTCTTCAATTAATAAATCAAGTTGCACCGCTCATTCTTAATGTGTTATTAAATAATTTGGTGCATCGACGAGTAAAACAATCAGCCACCGATTATGTTAAATGCCTATATGAAGCCAGTTATTGGCTCAATTTTGCAAACCTCAACGCAAGTGAATAATTTTGCTCGAGTGAATAATCGCAGCAAGATCAACAGAACTCACATGACTAATATAATTAACGTAATTTAACTTCCCGCTGTATGGTTTGTATAGTCGGGGGCCTAAATCAGGAGGTGGATTGCTGGAAAACTGAAGGACAGTAACGTGCCTTAAAAAAAGAAGCGCGTTCTGTATTGCTAAACGTTCTTTCTGTGATAACAATTGAAGGCCCCATCCTTCGATTTTTTGCTGTTGGTGCATTCCCATTAACGCAACAGGATTACACAAGAACTAGACCCTGCTTTGAATTATTGTCATATGTCCGCACCTTGGTCCTAATCCCGCTTCTGCTGAAGTCAACGGGATTCTTCTATATAGTTAAACGGGAGCCGGAGAGCGACCTTTATTTGTCAGGAAAGAGGGCCTTATCCCATTTCCTTTGAAGGCAGTGGGAACTTGCCATGAATTTCAATGAGAGCAGGGTCGGGTCCAAAATGTTATGGGAAGCATCACAATTGCAATTGCACACTTTTTACACTATTGACTATGTAAACTGTGAAAATATGTAGAATATAACTCCAGTAAAATCGAGTTGCAGCGCAGGAATTCTTAGTAGATTTAGCTGGTAGGCAATCAGTCTGAATAAAATCTTCATTCATTTGTTATAATAAAGAGTTACTAGACATTATTTTAAAGTGATATTATTAAACCTGTTCACATTTTTAAACGCAACGAGCAGGCTCGTGGCACCTTGGAGACTAACCAAAATATATATCACGAGTTTTCGTGGGCAAAGCCCACTTCATCAGATGAGCTGAGTGGAGAAAAAAACTTTTTAAAAGATTAAACACATTTTTAAACGATTACACTTGGGTAATTTGTAACTGCAATTGCTTTTGGAAGAGTTTGCTAAACTATATATATTAATATAATATAGTTAGGTGCAAATTATATGCAACTTAAATTGCGCAATACACATATAAATTATACGCAATTTGGAGCATGTTGTGTATATAAATAAATAGAAATACACATACAGAGTACGTGCAAATGTAAAGAGGTGTGCCTGTACTTGTGTTTCTTCAGTCAAACTAACAATTATAACGAAACGGAGAAAATGTGCAGACACGTTTTGCGTCTATGCCAATATATATATTCTGGATTCGACAAATTGAGTGTCTAAGCTAACATTTCTGATAACTGAAAATATGTATGAAAGCAATAAAAAAACACAAACGGCTAACTATATGCAGTGAATAATGAGCGCATCTGAGTATATATACATATAGTTTACTATATAGCTAGTTACAGACATATAGTTACCTTTCCTCTACTACATTCATATATGTTTTCAGTAAGCAAAAGTGTTAGTTACGACACTGAATATGTCGAATTCAGAATTGTAACTAATTCTAGTGTACAGTACAGTGGGCGCTTTTACATTTCCTTTTACTGCAGCTTTGAATGCTACAAAAACAAATTAAAGAGTATGACTCAACTCAGCCTTACGGTGAGATTCTGCTCTCAGCTACCTCCAGTGCAAATTTGGAGAGCTTCTGTGAAAGCAAGTGGGCTTACTGAAGAAATACTTCAGTGGAACGGAGCAGAAGTGGGCCTGCAGTCAGATGTTCCCCTGCAGAATGCAATGATGTACCGGTCTGAGCACCCTCTTGCTTAGCGCAAGCGTTCCACGGTTAATTAGGAAAACGCATACAGTATCATCTGTTTGATGCGTCAGTAGATGTCTGTTCTCCGCTACCCCTGTACCCATCAACGGACACCCTCTCCTGCAGCTCTTAGGCAAAACTCACATGGCATCAGTGAGGCTGTCGAATATCCCCGGAAGAGCCCAATGCAACAAGATGTGCAACCCTCCAAGTTCAGTCGGGGTTGAGGGAAAGTCTCAGAAGATGCTTGGAACGTTGCACAGTTTGCGTCTGTGCTTCCGAACGAATGGGTCACAATCGCAGTGTAATTTGCAACTGTTCGACAGCCTCAGTCATTCCATCCGCACACACTCCAAACGAACCTCTTCGATACTTTGCAGGGGTGGGTTCTTCTTTTCGGCCCCGTGCTCCAGTCAGAACAGTTTCACTTATTTTCTTGTATACCTTTTTTTTCCCA